AGGCCATGGAGGTTAGACATTACGTAAATCCATTTCTTGGTAAATGATGCTGACAAGGCATTTGATTAACACGATTAATTGCTGATAAAAATGTCTGACAGTTTGTTTTCTTCTCGAATATTTATGGCCCACTACTGGCGATACGCCCCAGGATCGCACAAATATTAATATACCTTATAAATATTAATTGAAAAACGTTCGTACTCCACTCTCTGCCACTCTCTCTGGCTGCTGCGTTTCAATTTGTTATGAAAAATGCATTTCTCATGCAGGCTTCCGCATAAATTCATCAGTGGCACAGCTCTGTGCTCTGTGCTTCTGTCCAGTGGCTGTGGCGCCAGCTGGTGGCCACATCAGTATCATCAGGCAGCATCAGGAGCCACTGCGTATCAGACGCCACCCATCGACTACTGTGCAACGGACATCCCGTGGCGGCCACCCAGGATCGGGGCCGAGGTCCAGGCGAGATCCCCCAAACCCCAAACCCCGGCCAGACCACATCAAACGGTGGCAGGCAGCTGCTGTCAACTGTCGCACACGACTTGTCCTTGTCAGTCAATGGATTGGCGTCCGCCTGCCGGCATGGGGCACGAGGCTGCACTCTGCACGGGGCTTTGAGCATTTTCTATATTAAACTTTCACATTTTTTGACATACGGGGGGGTAGGGAGCTGCAATTGGTATGCAAATTGACATTGGCGATGGAGCGGCATCAATTTCGGCATGCAAACTTCTTCAAGGCAAACGAAAATAGATCAAGGCTGGCCATAAAGGATTAAGGCAGGCAAAAGGACAAAGATAATGCGCCTAAAGCTATGATTATTTAGAGATTTATTGACTCAAAACTACCATACCAACAAACTCGCATTTGTAACCTTAACAACCAGAGAAAATCCAACATAATTTCATGCAAACCCGAAACGAATATTTTCCTCATAATTATTTGTTAAAAAAGAAGACAGAGAGTGAAGGAGAACCGAGAGAAATGCATCCCCCACATGGGATAATACGATTCGAAGTGAAAAGCGAGCAAAAACCGATCTTCCGCTTAACGTGTGCAGTCGTCACAGATACTTATTCTGTGAGATGCATTCACACAAAAAAGATGCAGCCACACACATGTGGCATCGGTTTACATGAAATGCGTGCAGCGGTTAAAAATTGGGCAGAAAGCGTGCTTAATTGTGAAAGAAAGTTCCATTTACGAGACACACACACAGAGAAATTAGATGAGACTGAGACTGAGACTGAGACCCGATCTCAGGCCTTGGAGAAGCATTCCAAATCGGTTGGGAATGACACAGGATACGCCCACTTCCAGGCACTGGTAAAGGCAAGTGCAAGTGCAGGAGACGTGAAGTAAATAAAGTGTGAAAAACCACACATTCGATCCCTAAGTCATCCATCAGAAGAGGATTCTATGGTAATCGCATTCACAGGATGCCAACTGTGGCCTGGGGATAGGTAAGTAATTTTAGTAAAATTAATTATGTACATGCCCGGGGAGGAGAGAGGGAATTTTCCCCGACTTGCCGCTTCATTGGCAGCCAAAACACTAAAATTGATCCCCATTCTGTATAGCGTTATCTATAACGGACCAGCTCGCTTTCATGATCAATGCGGATTGGAACAGCAATTGAGATAAGCCTCGCATTTCAGCCATTTTTTCTAGAGTCTACAAGCGGCAGTCGCGCTTCTTTTCTTTTTTAGTGCTCTGTGGGCGTTGCTTTAGCTCCATCATTGGCACTGATTCGTTCAGCCAAAAACAGATACCAACCGTTTTGCCAACTCGTTTGGGCACCCAAAACTGGTTTGCACTCTTCGGGTGTCTTCTTCGCGGCTGCCTTGTTTGGGATCAGCAACAGCAACAGCAACAGCATCAGCAGCTCTTTAGCGCTCGTTCCCAAAGCTAAAGTGTTGGACCAGACCTCCCCTCGGAGATCGGAGACCAAAACCAGATCAGGCAAAGACCCAGACCCAGACCCGATCCGACGACCAGTATGTACTTGCCATGTAGTTGCTTTGTTGGGGCCAGGGACTGGGCCTTTTTGAGTGGATCTTTTATGGCTCTGCCCACTTTGGAGGGCCGGCTTGCTGCCATGCCTCTGAGTGTTTTTTTTTGTGGAGGTGGATCGAGTGGGTTGTGATCCACCGACGGGCCTCACTAACAATTGAGCTTGACTTGTAATCCCCAAGGTATACATAACTCAAGCTTAGACCCAACTAAACGCACTCCAAATCACCATTTAAATTCAATTTAAATCAAATATTTATCCAAATTGACACTCATGAGTTGAGCATTTAGAATGTCTGCTAGAGGCCTGTAATTTGCCATGTAAAATCGATAATCATTCACAGCATTTTGTGTAAAGTTTTTCCGTGGCGCCGCCCACATAAGCCACACATAAACCACACAAACAGCAGACAGCAGACGTGCCACAGCACCTACCGTCGAGTATCAACCTGGGCGTGCCACAGTCGTGGGGCTGTAAAATTGTAAACAAAATGATTTGCCATAAAATTATCATAATGCCGCTTGAAATGCGCCAACAACATGTTGTCAACGGCAGCGAGCTTTGGCCCGAGCATCCATCCCACCAGCCATCCATTCATATTCGAAACCATCCATCGAATCCCAACTTTGAGGCTCGCAAATTTGGCCGCTGGTATTGTCAGGTCTGGCATCAATTTTTCTATAGATTCAGGCCCACACATTGAAATTTTGTAGCGCCAAAAAAGTCTGAAATAAAATTTCAATTTCTGCCTGTAATTATGAGCACAGAGCAGAAGCAGCAAAAATCCAAAAATTAACATGCAAATCGGATGTTGAACTGCGAGCTGCGCCACGCTATGCTGCAAGAAAAAATGCTCAACACTTTGGCTGGCAAAGTGCTTGCCGCATGCAACATCAAAGTGGAAATTAAATGCGCGGTAATTTGGCAAAAGGCTCAAAGGATGCCGGCCGATGCCGGCCCCTTCCGCCAAGCATGTACAGGTTATTGCCTGCTCTGCTCTTCAGTTCTGTGATTACTGATTGAGGATGCACTTGGAGTTCATTGGTAAATTTAAGTTCTGTGCCCCAGCACTTTGATAACTCTGTTTTACACATCAGCATGCTTGTTCGGCTCATGCTGGAGGGGACACGAAATTGATGGCTATTTATCGGATGCTTGAATGTCAAGAAATGATTAGAGTTTGTAGTGATTAAAGATCGGAATAGAATGGAATGCATTTAAATCACCCGTAAGTAAAGCGCCTTTAATTACCAACATCAATAGGTAAAATCCACTCGTAGAATGGCCATTCCTGGACATGGATGAGCACTTGACATGCAACATGTACATTTCACCAATAAAAGCGCTAATACATAACTTTTGTGGAGTGCCTTCCACCATGTCCAGCCCAGAGGCAAATCAAGCATAGCACACACCATGCACTCATAATCTTTCGTACCCGTTCCCCTCCCGGCTGCTGTCAGTTGGGTTCTCCGAGCACTACCAGCAGATAAAGCTCGTTACAAAGAGGGGCAGAGCCTTGAGCGAAGACTCCCCGAGGTGTGAAATCGTCTTGTCATTTGCCGTAAGTGAGCAGCAGGAATTCCCACTAAGTGGAGGCCCAAGTCGACACAGTGGCACACAGAATTATATAAACTATTCAACTATTATTTATACAATAAAAGAGCCATAATGTACACTGATTTGTGGTCCAGTTTTCCCTCACAACTGCACCCACACAAATTTATTATAATCCCAATATAATATATCTTCCATTTAATCGTTTTATTTGCACAAGTTTTCAACCGAACCGGTTCGCTCTACTGGACTGGACTTCAAGGCAAATGGAAAGATTGCCTTAGCTAACTAATCCGCAATTGTGCAATATAATTTATCACACAGCATTTGTGGAGCATCTACAAAGGAATATAAATATAATAAAAAATGTAGAAGCATTCTTTAAAATTATAATTAATTGGGAGGTGTATTGAAACAATTTTGCTCAGAACCCACACCACTGTGCGTGCTGCCCCACCAAGAAATCAAGAACACCTTGGACTGGGTGCTCATTGGGGCAGAAACCCAGTCAGTTGTCATGGGCACAGAACACAAACAGAAACAGGAATGGGCAGAGGGATAGTCGTTGGTAGCTAAGCAGTGCATGAGGCAAGTCCTGTTGCGACTTGCAACATTTTTATGATGATTTAGCATTCGCCTGCGGAGACAGCGCCGCGACTGCTGTTTCTGCCGTGCAGCGATCTCCTCTCTATATAGCCATAAAATCGTGTGACATATCCGCAATTTTTCAAGCCACTCGCGCATGCGTTCAAGTGTCGAAGTCGGGCTTAACGGCGCTCCCCCGCTGGCAGCTGAAGCCACTACACTCTAGAGCATTCTCCATTCTCCCGTTGCCGTTCGCTGGAAAAGTGTCAAAGCAATTTGTTGAAGCAGCCGTGAATTTGTGTGGGCGGCTGATTCGCAGAACGAACGAACGAACGAACGAGCGAACACCCAGCCGCCAGAACGCCCCCGAAACTAGCGACGACAAAAGCTTTCAATAGTCCATTCGGTGTCCGTTGGTTGAGGGGCAATTGTTTTCCACCGATCCGATAACCATCGATGCAGAGCGACGGCAGCCCACGCCAATTTGTGAATTTGAATTTGGATTTGTGAATTTGCTTCGGGGGCCCCACAAGCAACTAATTGCCGGCGATAATGCCGCTCGATTCTCTCATTTTTGGCAAACTGCTGACAAATTATTTATGATATAATTTGAAATTTGACTTTTCGGCTAGACAAATTACCATTACCATTATTACCATTCGCTCTCTCTCTCTCTGTGATAATGAATTATGTGACTCTGGTGTCGGACATTTAATTATTTTTACTCCGACTGACTGCCCCGCACGACCTTCGACTGTGCTTCACCTTGGGACCTGTGCCTGTGTTCTCGAATTGAGTTATTACAGACAAAATTCATTTGTGATTTGCATCAAAAAATATCTACAATTTCCCCATAAAAATGTCCAAATTTAATTTTAATATGCTAGAAGCCGACAAAGGGGTGAAGTCCGTCTCCTTTGGTCCGAACTCCCCGCTGAAGCGCCTCTTCCAGATGGTTGTGATCAAGCGCGAGTGTTACGTGAACGATCTGTGGGAGCTGGTGGGCCACGAGACGGTGTCCACGAGGGATGAGAAGCGCGAGGATATCAGAAAGTCCATCGACTGGTTGCTGAAGCGACTGGCGGATCTCGATGTGGTGGCCTTTGGGGAGCATCTGGGCATGCAGATGACCGAATTATATCAGACCATTCGCATGCCCAGGGTAATCATTGGAGTGCTCGTCCATAGTCCCAGCAAGCCAACCATTCTGGTGTATGGCAATTTGGATGTGGAGGAGGCTGTCGTCTCCGATGGCTGGGGCACAGATCCCTTTGTGATGACGGAGATCGGCGAGTATCTGTACGGGCGGGGTGTGGCCATGGACAAGGGTCCGCTGCTGTGCTGGCTGAACGCCATTCAGGCCTACAGGGACGCAGGGGTGCGGCTGCCCGTTAACCTCGTGTTCGTCATCGAGAGCATGGCCCACTGCGGCAGCCTGGGCCTCGAGACGGTGCTCAAGGAGCGCATCAGCTTCTTCCGCAATGTCTCCTGCGTGGCCATGGCCACTCGCCGCTGGCAGAGCGCCACCACCCCTGGAGTGGTGTACGGATCCAGGGGCCTGATCTACTACCACCTGGAGGTGCAGTGCTGCAACCGCGATCTGAGCAGCTTCGAGCACGGCGGCACCATCTTCGAGGCCCTGCCGGATCTCTTCTACCTGCTCAGCTCTCTGGCAGATCCCCAGCTGAACATCCTCATAGACGGGGCCATGCACGCCCACCCCGTCGACCTGAATGCCGTGCGCTGTGCGGACTTCAACTACGCTGAGTTTGGGGAGAACCTGAAGGTGCCCCGCCTGCCGAACCGCACAAAGAAACATGTGGCCCTCGCCGAGAACTGGGCCATGCCCCATCTCTCGATACATGGCATCGAAGGGGCGAACTTTGAGGCAGATGTCCGCTTTGTGATACCCCACAAGGTGATTGGGAAGTTCTCCATTTCGCTGGCGCCCAACCAGAGGCCCGAGGACGTCACAAGGGCACTGCAGAAGCATCTGGGAATAGTCTGGCTGCAGCGGGCATCGCCCAACAAGATGATGCTCTGCGAGAAGTTCGTCATTCCCTCCTGGAGTGGGCGCTGCAACAGTCCAGAGTATCTGGCCGCCACTCGGGCCATGACTAAAACCTACAACGTGAAGCCCAACTTTATACGAGACGGCGGCTCGCTGCTGGCTCCCTCAATCTTCCAGCGGGTGCTCGACAAGAATGTGGTGGTGCTGCCCATTGCGGAGCACGACATCGGCGGGTGTCCGGTGAACGAACGCATCTCGGTGGACAACTACATCAAGGGCTCCCAGCTGTTGGCCGCCTTCATGTGGGAATATGCCCAAGAGAAGCCCGAGGGCGATTCTGTCCGTGGCATGTGTATGCCAAATGACGGCTGAGCGGCTAAGCGGCGACTCCTTTGTTCTATGCCGTCAACACTAAATACTCACGTCAGCCAATAAATCCACTTCGGTTCGCAATCGGGAGATCTCTGGCTGAAGTCGGGTCTGTGGCTTCCAAATGGGTTACAGTTGGAGCTGAGGCTGAAGCTGGAGGTGGAGCAGGAGCTGGAGCTGATGCTGATGCTGATGCTGGCCAAAAGCCGGTTTCCCTTTAGGTGTCAAAAGCAATAAAACGCCGGCCTGTAATCAACGCGATCCTAAATAGGTGTACAAATTACACCAAAGTCCTTAATTATAGCGAAACCGCCATCGTATCGTCCAAGCTCCAAGCTCCAAGCTCCAAGCTTCACTCCACAGTGGAAGTCCCAGACGCTTAACCACAAAACGCCATCGTGATCATCTTGGCTCTGGCTGTGGCTCTGTCTCTGTCTCTGTTTCTGTTTCTGAATGTTTACAGGAGGTTCTCGTCTCCAGTCTCTCGTCTCTCGTCTCTCGGTGCTGGATTCTTTCATTCCTTTGGGTTGTGTGTGCGGTTTGCTCTCGTAGTACGAGTAGGCTTGCAACTATTAAGAATTTGGCACGGTCTCAAGCGGGGCTCCTACTGCTGCTGTGGCTTATAACTTACACCCAGATCGATCAGTGCAATTGGTGTAAATGTACTTGGCCGCAACAGCACAGAGAACGGAGAGCGGGGAACAGAGCCACATCGTCGAGGGCCAGCCAGCCAGCACTTGGCGCTCATAGTTTGGTCTCTTTTGGCCATGCCGCACGTTCGTGCTGCGAAAATTACATTTGATCGATTTGATCGGCGCTACAAGATCAAAGGGAAATGAAAGACAGCGACGAGAACGCCGACGCGGCCACAGACTCAATCCCAGTCGCAGCCCCAGTACCGGATCCAGATGAGCTGCAGCTTCATCTGAGAGAACTGTGTTGCTGGCACCTTTGCTGGCGTTGAACGTTTATTTTTTGCAGCTTTTTAATACAGCAGATCTGCAAGCATTTCAGCATTATCATATTGATTGTTAATGGAAAGTGCTTAAGTTCTTTGATACGAAAGCTTGCTGGAGATTGTAAGAGTTTTATTTGGGATCGGAGACAATAACTAGAGGAATTCTTTCTAACATGTAAAAACTCATTGAGTGTGTAGACCAGAAACCATCTTAGAGATATGTATGTATGTTTTATTTGCATCTAATTCTGTGGTTCCAGAGAGACATTAAGCCATCAACCTCGAAGGTTCTTCTACTTTGAAACAGATTCTGAAGTGAGCACTTTGCCGTTTTAGGATCCATCTTTCTTCTCTGAAAATGTAAATAACTTCTACTTTATTTGAAAATAAATGAAGAGTTTCATGGATATTTTCATTATTCACTCAAACCCTATCGGCCCCTTAACCATCGATCTAAAAGATAACTTTTCGACTGCCTCTGCCACAGATACACACTAAAAAGTATCTCAATCTTTGCCGCTGTTTTGCGTTTCAAGTTGGTGCCGCTGCCACTGCGCTGTTGGGCTAAAAAGTGTGAAATTTGCTTAGCTAACTGGAGGACTGCGGTGCTGTGTTGCTGTGTTGCTGGCAGTTGAACCCTGCCACACGGCCCCTGGGCTGCAGTCTTGGAATAGGGCAGATGGATACACGTAGGTTCGGCAGATAGGTAGCCGGGCGAAATGGCCAACGAGCCGTGGCCATGTCCACTTGGTAACGGTAGGCTAGGGGGAAATTCAGCACGCACGACACACACAGGGAAGAGTTTGGTGCCGGTTGGGAGGGGGTCAAAATAGGCGAGTGTGACCATAACTTATGCGCAAATTATTCGATTTGGAGGCGTACAAAATGCAGATACAGCTACCCAATAATGGGCCCCGAACGGCTCTCTCCCCATCTACCGAAGAAGCTGTGAAAGTTGCACCGACTCGAAGCTGCGACTCCAAAACTGCGGGAGAAAGAGTAGCAAATTTGTAGAAAATTGAATGCCACCTACCCATCATCAGCAGCCAGTCGGAGATGGAGAGATGGAGTTGGAGATTCGGCTGACCACGTAGGCGGCACACGGATGCCAATGTGTAATTTTTGTGAATTTATTTTATTTGGCAACAACTCAGTCGTTGCTGACTTGCAACTTTAAAAAATCACCAGAAGCAGCGGGAATTACAGAAATAATTGGCCAGCAGGCTGGCTGGCTGGCTGGCAGGCGGTGGGAAAGATTTCTCCCTAGGCTCTGGCTAATTGAAATTCCCATGCTCATCGCTTTGTGCCTCTAATGGCGACCCCAGCTGCCACACATTCGACCAGAGAGACACAATCTGAATATCTGGCCTGGCCAATTTAAGCCAAATCGCATAACAACACGCACTTTCCAGCACTCTGCCAATGCACGCACTCATGGACTAGAAAAACTGAAGGAATGGGAGCGGGAGCGGGAATGGAGAGTCCAGCACAGGACAACAGGCCTCGGACTCTGACTCTGATTCTGATTGTGCCTGTGATTGTGTCCCTGTCCGTGCCCGTGTCTCTGGTTGCATTCAACAGCCATTTTCGGTGCTTTTAATTGTCAGTGACAAGGCTGGGAGGCCCCAGAGTTACCCCTCCTCATCCTCCCTGGCATGGCAGTGTCCATCGGAATGGTTCTCATGTGACCTCGTACTCGGAGCGGGGTTCTGGCTGATTTTAATGCTGCTAACGAAATTTAATTGGCCTCTAAATGATTTTAATTGTGCCACTGATGTTCGCCATAAGTTACAACGCAAATGGCCGGCAATTGTAGATCCCACAGATTGCAGATTCCCCGTTCGTGTTGCACTTGAAAATGGAGGAGAGTGGAGAAAAATTGCAGCAACTGTGGAGGGGAGCAAGGGGGTACAACACATTTGAACTGTATCTCAGACACAGTTGTTCATTAGTTCATTTGCTCAAGGATTCACTCGAACCTTTGCATATTTGTTGTACAAAACTTTCCCCATTCAAATTAATCCGATCCACCGCACTCAACTCTGTCATTGCCATTTCATTCGACATCAGCGGTGCTGCTGGCATTCGTCATCCTCGTCGTCAGCGTCATGGCCACCGCCCTGTCAAAGTGCCATCAACATTAACCCAAATGAGTGGAGAGACGATTATTAACAATAAGACGGAGCAACGGCCCAGTTCCACTTGCAAATTAATAACCTTTCACCTGAGTTTTAATTTAAATTCCCGCGACTTATCCGCCCAACCATAACGATCTGCTACGGATCCACCTCTCAGCGCAGGCCACAGCAGACCTCCCATTGGAGACGGCTATGAATACCTTCGTCAAGGGCTCTTGTCCCGCTGCCTGGCTGACATTTCAAATTTCGCAAATGTCAAAAAGAAACCATCGTCTGCTAGCCGTGGCGGCTGCTCATTTGTCTTCAAAATTTGCCATAACGGTGGACCGAGAGCCGCACTTTTTAACACTTTTCACTTAGGCGGCGGTCTGTCTCTCTCTCTCTCTCTGTCTGTTACATCTCATCTCGGCGTCCCCTATCTGTCTCCCTGAGGAGTGGATGTGAATGTGGATGTGTGGCCAGGGGCCAAATCTAAATGCTCTCGTGCAAGACCAAACGGAGTGCCGACCTGGCCGAGTCATCAAGCCCTGACCCACCTGGTGGCTCCTCTTGGTAGTTCCTTCTCTGCGGTCCGTTCACGGCACGGCATGGTCTTCAAGATCTGAGCTAAGCTCTTGGCTCACTTTCCAGCCGTTGTTAAATAATTTCACAGTCTATCAATTAGCGTGGCGGTCGCGTCAGCAGGATCAAGCTGAAACAGTGGTTGCAAGTGGCAAAATAATGCAACTTCCTCTTTAGTTTCTCACATTTTTGCACACCACAACGACATGAACAACCACTGTGCATATGGCATATGGTTGTGGGCAATTTTTCATAATGTTGCAGCAGCTTTGGCCACAGCCTGTATGCTGGACTCTGGACACTGGCTCTTATGACCTTAGGGGCTGGCAAAAGGTGGTCTCGCTGATGGCTTACGTCTGCGCTACTCATAAAATTTCAATTAATCTGCGTGTCACTGCACACAGACAAAAAGCCACAGCAATAAAGCGTGTGGAGGGAGTATCTGTGTGTGGGGTGCTATGCTAAATGGCAGCTACGGGGATTTAATTAAATACTCGCACCGCAGTTGCTAGCTGGAGTTTGGACTGTATTAATAGTAAGCCTTCAGTTTCCTCTGGCTTAGCCGATTATTATCTTTGGATCTGTGCATCTTTGGGGATATGCCCTGGGGGCAGACAGCAAACCAACAACAAGTCCGAAACTCGCACACAAATTAATCTTCTTCAAATTAGCATCTTGATTAGCCAATGAAATGTGTAACCCATGCCCGAGAGCCACACTGCTACCCGAGATCTCGGGGAGTTCGCTATAAAAATCAACAGAAAATATTCGAATTCGTTTTTGATGATCATTGATCATTTCTGTTTGCCAGCTCGAGCTGCGACTCCGACTCCGTCTCCGTCTCCGTGTCCGTCTCCGTCTGGGACTTCGATTCCGATTCCGTTCGCATGGCTCTGCTGTTGATGTGATTACAATAATTAATCTTGCACGAGATTATTGTTTCTCCCAGCCCAAAAACAGCCAAGCCAACCACCAGCAGCCATCACACGATCACCCAAGACCATTGGCAACACCAAGACCCAGTTCGGAGTCAGCGTCGAGAAGTTTTGAATCGAGGCTGGGATCGCTGCCGTTTGGCTGGTTTCCTCAAGGCGCCAGCTACGGGAACGGCGTCAAATTAAGTGTTTGTGTCGCTGGCCATTAATCAAAACATATCACAAATTTCGATATGAAAAAGTGTTTTGTATATCAAAGCAAGCCACAACACACACAAACGTGTATCGTCGTACATCGTACAACTTGTTCCATGTCGTGTTGCCCGGGTGTCGTCGTTGTCTGTTCATTTATTTACATTTTGCTCGTACTCTCCTGCGTTTTTCCTGGTCTGCGAATGTCACCTGCTGTGCCAACACCACACACATGTTGGCTCCACTGATTCCACTGGCAGGCCGGGCCGGGCTGCTTCCTGGACAGGGAGGGGCCCGCGTCCAGAGCCAGAGACCCAACCTTTGATGAATGATGGACAGCATCTCTGTCTCTGCCAGCATCTCCGGTTGGGCTCATTCATTTGTTGGATTTGAATTCATTTGAATCGGGATGCATGCAGCTGGCATTTTGTTGGACTACTGAATCGGTGGGTTTGCTTTGCCCGTACATATCCGGCGGCTGAAATTTATTTACTGCCTAATTGCTGCTTAAATAGACACACGCTTGTGGCCATAAGCCTTGGCTCTAACCACAGCCGCAACTTGTTCACTGTTCGTACATTTTATCTGTTGCAAATATCAAAGACAACAACAGTCGCCTAGCCAATGTCAACAGGCGGCAATCAGGTGACAGCAGCAGACGCACAGGCAGAGGCAGGACAGAGGCAAGGCATGGGGCAATTATGTATAATAATATGTGCAACTGCAGCAACTGCAACAATTGACCACTTGAGGTTTTCAACAAGTTTAAGCAGAATGTGACACCTGCAATCGAGTGTGGCACAGAGAACGACAAAAGCGGCAACAGCAACAGCCACAAGCTCCAACTTCCAGCTTGTGGCTACAGTTAAGGCCAAATTAAAATGCAATTTCGAAGTTCAACACCTTGGTCAATGGGAGCTGAGCCGGAATGGACTGCCGCTCCGCTAATGACATCTGTCTCGGTTATCTGTCACTCCGTTTATGCATATTTATATAAAAAAAACTATGAAGGAGGCAACTTACTATATTCCATAAACTTGAAGATGTAATCATAGGGGAAGTTGTTACCATGCCAGGCATGCAGTTTCCATTTTGTGACTGTTTTTAGTTGTGCATATCACTTTATAGTTTATTTTTATAGCTTGATCGAACGATTTGGGCATACTTTGGAGCCAAGTATTTATAGGATCTACCCTGAACGCGTGTTTATGTCAAAATAATTCGAGTTAGCTAAGCTTCAAACCACTTTTATGGCGCCAGGATTTGTGGCCATTTTAAGAACTTTGATGTCAATTTTAGGAAATCGGGGGCCAAAGTTACATGAATGTATTCTACGTGACTTTATACACGCACATACTGGCCCCACCTAGTTTAATAAAATGACAACAACTTACATTTCTTTGACATAATTTCTACATCATAAATCATAAATGCACACATTTTCCAGCACTGATTTCGAATAACATGTAGATTATATGTAATGTGAAAGTAGAATGTGAAGTGTAACGACATATCTCTGTTACAGATGCTCGCTTGAGTTTTCAAAATTTGAATTCAATATTCTTCTTCGCATACCGAAGTCTTGATGGGTCGCATTTTCTTCAAATATATCTTATTTATTTACAATTAAGTACAATTAACAATTTGTAGGCGTAGGTTTCTTATAAAAAATGAATCAAGCTTAGGAAACACGAAATTAATATATTCTGGACAATGAGATCTGGAAAACAATGAGAGATCTGGCGGTTTGGTTTGACGAAACTCCGATTGAAGCTAAAGTTAGGGATACTTACAGACTAAGATAATTATTAGCTATGTTCGATCGCTCATCGTCGGATTCAGCTTAATACAAAATGCTAGGAGTTTGTTCAAAGAGTCTGGCAAAGTAGTCCAAAAAGGACTAATAAAATTGACTTATTTCAAAAATATCGAATATGGAAAACTTGTTTTGTTGTTCATCATTCATAATTGTCGTAGAAATGATATCCAAAAACTAAATAAACTTATCTGATGAGGCGCTTCGCAGTTTACCCAAAACAATTTCAATATTCTAGCTAAATTAATTTACCCTAAGGCCACAGGAAGGTGAAGCTTAACTTAGGGGTAGTGCGGCTTAGCAGTAGGTTCGCTTAGAGTTAGAGTTAGGGTTAGTTAAGGTTAGGGTTAGGGCTTAGGGCTTAGGTGTACAGTACAGGATAGACAGTACAGGCGGTTGGATAGTCGAGAAGAGATAGAGAGAAGTTGGTGGCGGAAGGATAGTTGGAAGAGAGAAGACAGTAGACAGTGGAGGGAAGTGAAGCTTAGACCTGCAATCGAAACTTATTTAGTAAGAAATCCAAGGGAATAGTTCTGTGGTGTTCCATTCAGTGTGCGAATTAATTTATTTGCGTTCCGAGGCTGCCCTAATGGCGGCCCTCTTTCCCACCTGTTGCGGCGGCTGCTGACCCCCGCTGCCCTCCTGGGATCCGCTCTCCGCATCCGAGTCCTTGAGGGAGCCGCCCTCCTCGTCGCCCACCAGAGCTCGATACTTCTTGGCAATGGCCTCCCAGTCGGCCACGTTCTCGATGCGATTCTGATTGGCCTGCGAGAAGCTGGCCTGCGATCCCAACGGCGAGAGATGCACCTGCGACAGTGCCACCGAGTCTAAGGGGCAAACAAAATGGGATTAGAAATGCTAAATTCCCCCCAGCCCGAGGGTGAAAGAAGGTTGGAAGTAGAGGAAGAACTTTTGAGCTAGAGCGAGCCAATGTTTAGGAGAAAGAGAGAGAGGAGAAACAGAGGAGGAAGAGACAGAGACAGAGACAGAGATCGCGACAGTCTTACACGTGAAGAAAGAGACAGTTAGAGATGGAGATGGAGATTGGTTGACAGCCCGCTGTTAGCTGTTACAGAACTCCCGCACTTGACCAACGGGGGATACACATAGAGATACCCATGCTATCGAGTAGCAACTGCAGCGATACATACTTGTCTCACCTTTCTTGATCTTCGATAGCCACTTGGCGCCGGCCTTGGTGCGGGGACTGGCCTGACGTATTCCCATCATCTGTACCAGACTTGGACGCTTCTTTTTCTTCATGCGTGCCTGTGTAAGGCGTTTGGCGTTTGGCGATTGGCGATTGGCGATTGGCGTTTGTGTGAGTTTTGATCAAGATCAAGGCGCATTAGACACAGGACATGAATGACATACAAGACAAGAGACATACAACATAAACGGCGATCAGCAATTGGTTGGACATCAAAAGCATATTCTCAGTGACAAAGTGCCAGAGTGCAGTACACAAAGTGCTGACAGGTGCTCGGATATTACAGAAAAGTGCCAGGTGAAGAGTGTTGTAGAGTGTGGAGTGGTTGCTGGACAACATTCACAATTGGTGAGATTCCTTTGCGGTTGTTGCCAAATTGCTTTAAATGGGTTGGGGAAAAGGTCAGTAGAGGCAGCGGACTGCACCCGTCCGAAGGACAGTTCTGATAGTTGGCAGATAGTAGACAGAATACGATAGAGAGAGAGAGAGAGCGTTGCTTGGGAATTTCTTCGATTTACCTTGACCTTCTCGACGATCCACATAAACCAGGTGGTAACTAAATTAAGCGGCGAGGGCGCTGTTGTGGTGCGATGCATATTGCGTATAAGCTTTGACAAGCCAAATTTCCACTCGATGTCGGATTGTGCCTAGTATTTCATAGGTTTTGTTTTGTTTGGTTTTTGTTTGTTTGGCAGAGTGTTAAGATGCGTTGATGGTTGGATGAGGCATGACATAGGAGTACAAGAACACAGAGTAGATACACGGGATGAGTTTCGTGAGCTGAAGCCTGGTAATTTTCGGTTGTTTTCGTTTGGCTTATAAATATACGTAACTTAAGAGCTGCAAAAAGGATCAATAAGGGAAATATGCAAATGCAGACGCCTGTTTTGGATGGCAATTTCTAGCGAAAGTTTCTCCTGAAATTGTCATACAAAACCTAACGTATTCATTGGTATATCTCTGTAGACTTAGGCCTAGGACACACAAAACACAGACACATATATGGACATGCAGCAACACGTTTCAAAGCATGCATTGGCCAGCACAGGCTGGATACGGCTTCTTCTAGGCATGAGCTATTCGTCTAAAGCTAAACACTAAGCTTTACTGTACTTCCAACTGCAAGGGCTACTGGCACTAGTACGAGTCTAAGACGCAGTGTGGCTGTTGCGGCATAGGCGTTTCCATCTTTGAGACACAGTTTGCTGCGAAAGTGTATCTCTCAGACTTTGCTAGAGTTTTGAGTTTTCCTGAATGAAACCTGGAAGATGCAAGTCTGGCAGGCGGTTGATGGATCTACAGAATGTGCCAGCAAAAAGTTCTCTAAGTTCAATTCTCTAAGAAATCTCTAATAATATTTCGACAGAACATCTCAACTCAAAAAACGTTGCTTAGCTGAAAGAGACTTCAAGATTAATTATCATCAAGTTATGCCAAATAAGATACTTAACTTAGGGATAGTAAATATAATAATATGTATGTATGTTGTATGTATAGCAAGATTGGAAAAGGATTGCTCAACAGAAGCGCCATTAGCAATACTACCTGGATTCGTTGATAGGTGTCTGACATCATAGCAATCAGCAGGTTAATTAGGACAACCACCGACACCAGCATGTAAATGCCAAAGACAATTTTGAACAGATACTCAACCCAATACGGTTGAGTGGGCGTGGCTACATTTTTGATTTTGTCAACTTGCGTTTGCTCGGTCGTCGTCTGACCGAACACGGCGAAGAATAGTAACTCGAACGAGTTTATCGGATGCATGCGCACTGTGTCCAGATACACCACATAGATAGACACCCCCGTTTCCGGACACGCACACGCACACACACCACACACACACACACCGTGGAAATTATATTGAAAAATAAAAAGATAACGGACGCCCATTTGTGCGACGAGCGGTTGGCCCATTCGTCGACCAACCCCAAGGAACGCCAATTGTGATCCAATTTGGACGGTACGGTCAGGGTTGTTGTAGTTATTACCATTTAAAGCATAAACAATAAAATCATTCAATAATAAAGAGCAGAGTTTATATATATGTTTAAGTAAAAGAAAGAGAGAGAGAGAGAGAGAGAGAGAGAGAGACATATTGGATTAGTGGCCTTGTCAATACAAACCTGAATGCGTTGATAAGTATCCGACATCATGGCAATTAGCAGGTTAATGAGTACAACCACAGACACTAACAAATAGATGCCAAAGACAAATTTGAAGAGCACCTCGGTCCACTCGGGACGCAAGTGTCGCATGGGATTGATGTCCAGAGTGGTCGTTTGTCCGAAGACGGCGAAGAACAGACGCTCGAAAGCCAGAAATGGCGTCATGGGTCCTAACACCGAACACCGAACACCGAACACATTCACATTATTCATTGACATTGACATTGACTCATACTTGATGCTGGATGGCATGGCTTGGCATTACACCGCATATATATCGGAGATATACAGGCATGGCACAGGCGTGTGTGCGAGATACGAGCAGTAGTAGTAGTAGTAGTAGTAGATTGTTGGTTACATATTTTTGGGTGGATGGGTGAGTGCGTGTGTGGAAAACACGTCAAAAGCGGCAGCAGAACACATTCGCAGAACGCAGATCGCAGATCTCGCATTGGGCAGTTCGAGGATCGTTATATCAATACGATTCGAATCGATTCGATTCGATTCGTTCTCGGGTGCAGAATTTGGTGGTGGGCAAGCGGGCGGGCACAAGCTGAAAGCCCCTGGCAGGCGGGCATTTGCGAATATTTATTGCAGAGTATACGGCGGCATGATATTTTTTTGTACGAATATAATATTCTATATATTTAAACAGATTTTGACTTTGGCTAAACATCAACATGCAAAATTGGAAAATTTCAATTGATACACGCTTCAAGTGATTATCTTTGGATAGACATCGACTAAAATCAGTAAAAGGAAAACTATATTAAATAAATGTATAATAAAAATTATTACTGTTGAACAGTTAAGACGGTTAAGGAATCGGAAGACAAGTTTATATAATTTTAAAGAATTTTAATTTGGAAAATAAATGTTTTTTTTTAGTTTTTCTTTGAGTAGAAAGATTGAGTGGCATTTGCCTTGAAAATATGTAAGTGTCCATGACATTTATTAATAATAAAATAAAGTAGAACATAAAAAAGGAAAATAAAATAAAACTGAAATTGTTTTCATATTTCTTGTCTTCCTTTTAATTTAAAATCCAATTCAACTGAAAACTTCTCGCTGCACAAGTTCATGTAAAGAAAGTAAAAATAAAGTTATAAAGCTTTGAGTATGATACCTATGATAAATTGTTCCACAACATCAAGGATATAGAAAAGATGGGTAGGACCCCAGGGTCCCTCTCTGGGAGTCCTGCCCCACACAAAACATGCCTCAAACGAAAGATTTTTGTAACTGAAACGAGCAAAGGCTAACGTAACGGCTGTTTGTTGTAAGGAACGAGGTGCGGGGAGCTGTTGCTTTTTCCATAGCACTGGAAAATAAGATGACAATAAAACTTTTACGCACAACATCGAAGGCGAGGAGGAGAGGAGCGGAGCGGAGCAGTGGAGTGGAGTGGAGGGGCTCCAGCTCCAGTATGAGTAGGGGTGGGTAGGGTACGGGGGGGAGCACATGGGTGGACCATGCAAGGCAGGGAGAGAGAGAGAGAGAGAGAGAGAGAAAGCAATTGGACTTACGATCATCTTTGTGCTTGCGTCGGAACTCGCTGAAGCGATTATCGACATAATTATCCGCTGGAGGGGGTCGCGGAGTGGGCATGTCATCTGTGTTTGATGCATTGAGATCAAAGAGAATGAGATTAGTATGGACTGAGAGACAGAGAGGGGGAGCGAGTGTGGACACGACATCGAGGGGAGGCATTGGTTTGGTTTTGCTGTTGTTGGATTGGTTTTGGTTTTTGGTATTTGGTATTTGTACTGGTTGAGCATGCAATTGTTGTATTATGTGGTTGTACGAGTATTATTATTTCTTAGGTGAACATTGAGCACACACATAGACAGAGTTCATTCAAGGCAGATTAGATACAGATACTTATCAAGACACATTGAACACGTTAAAAGAGGAAGTTTTGCGAGAAAACATTCCAGTAAAGAAACAGAAAAGATGGGAACCAAAAACTAACGAGAAGTAGACTGGAGTAAAGCAAAGCAAACGTCTGGACTTACCGTCACTGAAGTAGCCCCGATTGCGGTTCTTCTTCTCGAAGCTCCGCAGATCCTCCGGCGAGAAGTTGGCAAACGATTGATTCAGCGCCACAATGTGCATGGAGAAGCCGAACACGAATATGGCCAGCACGGCCAGAAAGCGTGCCAGATCCTTCAGCAGATCGCCAATGATGATGGCCCAGGGCCCGAACAGGTGGTGGAACGACAGAAAGTCAAGGATTTGCACGCAGGCCAGCAGGAAGGCCAGGGCGAAGCACTGATTCCGACAGTACACCAGCGTGGGCCAGTACTCCTTCGAGACGAACACAAAGGCGGCCACGTGCACGCCCACCCCGGCCATGCCCAGCAGCAGGACCAGCACCTTGATGGATCCCAAGCCCGACTTATCCGAGGGATTCGTCAGCTCGAACAGCAGCAGTCCGCTCAGCCAGATGAGCAGCCCGATCTCGTACCAGTACGGGACCAGGCTGAGGCGCAGCACCGGATAGATGGGCGTGATGCCCACGATGCTCAGGTGGATCATGAGGTAAATGTGCGAGGTGAGGTACGACATGAACTTGATGATGGGCACCTTGTTGAACTTGTGGCCCATGGGAAAGGTGAACCCAATCCACACCGGCGGACACACAATGAAGGCAACCAGCAGCAGCATGATCTTCCAGGAGGCCCAGGTCAGGGAGCCGTGCCAGAGTTCCTGCAGAATCAAGCAAAGTTTAGTTCAAGATTATTCCAATTGGACGGGGGAAACCCTCATAACACACACTTGAAGATACCGCTGGACCACTGTGTGGGCAATGACCTCCTTCTGCTCGTTCTCTATGAGGACGTCGAGAAACTCCACGTTGCGTTTGTCGGTGGCCTGCAGGATCTTCCCCGCTGAATCGGAGCCAGCAGCCAGAGCCAGGAGTTCGGTGGCCATCGTCTCGCATTGCTTGCCAGCAGCCACCAGATCCTTGGCTCGTTCTTTTTCCTACAAAGTGGCAATAAAGTGAAAGGGATTCGGAAGGGTAAAGCCTCAAAGGAGACTCACCTTTGTGGATAGAACCATGTAAATGTTGGACAACTTGGCGGCCGTATCCACTGGTGCTGGCGACACCAACACAAACTCTTGGATGGGCTTATTGTTGTGGTTCTTGGACACAACCATCAGATTGTAGACGAAGCGCTTGTCCTCCATGAGGCCGTAGGTGTCGTGCTCCTTGTTCATGAGGTAGCGCAGCACCTCGTTGTGGCCCTCGGAGGCGGCGAACCAGATGGCCGCACAGCCATAGTTCGTCTCGGACTTGGGCGAGGCACCGGCCTCGCACAGCAGCTTCACCACCTCCAAGTGACCGGCTTTGGCAGCACAATGCAGTGGCGTCCAACCATTGCGATCGGTTGCATTTATCTCCGCGCCCTGTCCCAGCAGAATCTCCACCATCTGGATGTGGCCATGCATGGCAGCGATGTGCAGGCCAGTGCGGCCATTCCTATCCGTCGATTGGAGGAGTTCCGCCGACCGACTCAGAAGCAAACCGACCACTGACATGTGTCCGCCGAAGCAAGCCAAATGGAGTGGATTATAGCCCTACAAATGTTGGTAAATATTTCATTCAAAGTTAAGGGAATATTCTATATGGACTCACGTTTTCCGTTGTCGCCGCATCAACCTGTACGCCCGCCGAGTTGAGAAGCAGCCGCACCACATTCTCGTTGCCCGAGAAGGCTGCCAAATGGAGGGGCGTCATGCCCGACTCGGTGCCCAGCTCTCCGAACAGAGTCTGCCCCGTGGGCGTCTCCGATTTCACCGTTGCGGGGACACTCGTGAGGAGTTCTCGGACCGTGTCCGCTTGTCCGTAGTACGCAGCCACATGGAGGGGCGTTAGACCCAGCTTCTTGCTATTGATCCTCAGAGAATTTGTGCTCTTCAGCACATCCAGCACCTGTCCGTGTCCGTTTTGGGCTGCCAGATGGACGGCGGTGAAGCCCGCCTTGTTCTCCTCGGTGCAGGAGGCGCCGGCACGGACCAGGGCCTTGACCACATCCGCATGCCCGCCCTCGGCAGCCAGCTGCAAGGGCGTGGCATCGGTCAACTTATTTCTAGCCGAGATCACGCCAGATCGATCAAACTTCATCAGCTCCTCGATCACCTTCACAGATCCCTGCATGGCGGCAATATGGGCGCAGGTGTTGCCGTCCTTGCTCGTCGCATTCACCAGCGACGGATGCTGTTGCAGGAAGAGTTTGGCCACTTCAGAGTAATTGTTCTGCGCGGCGACATGGATAGGCTTCTGGCCCAGGTCGTCCGTCGCATCGATGTTGGCCCCCAGCTCGAGCAGCAGCTGGCAGACCTCCATCTGGCCACTGGCCGCCGCCAGGTGCAGGGGCGTCTGCTTGCGCAGCGTCAGGATATCGATCACCGCATTGTGGTCCTTGATCAGGAACTTGACCAAGTGCGTGAATCCGTTCATCGACGCCAAATGGAGGGCAGTGCGCCCCACGCGCGACTTCGAATTGATGAAGGCCTTGTTCGTTAGCAGGGCATCGCAGACGTGCAGGTAGCCCCGCTCGGCGGCCAGGTGCAGGGCCGATCGGCCCTCGGTGTCAAACACATCGACTCTGGCATGATTCGCTAAAAGGTTGTTGACCAGCTCCATGTGTCCCCGATGGCAGGCGATCAGCAGCGGCGTCCAGCCCACCGACGACTGCCGGTTCATCGCCTTCTGGATGTCCGTGGGATTCATGTGCGAGATCATCTCCATCAGCACATCGTTGTTGCCCGCCACGGCGCAGTAGTGGAACGCCGTCTCCAGTGCGTTCTTGGTCTGCAGCGTCACGTCCGCTCCGTTCTCGAGGAGCATGCGAACGATCTGCTTGTCCGACTCCGGGATCTTCACCTCCTCCTTGGTAATTTGGCAAGTGTAGTGCAGCGCCGTGGCGCCATCGTCATTCACGGAATTAATGTACGTCGTGGCCTTGTCCGGGCCGTGCTTCTCCTTCACCGTCTCGATTAGGTGGCGCACAATCTCCGGATGGCACGAACGGCAGGCCATATGCAGGGGTGTCTCGCCCGTCTACAAAGAGAATTTATCACCGAAAAATGCATTTATAGTTCTACAATTTCTACTCACATTGGACTTGTACAATGGATCTCCCTCGTCCTCCAGCAGCTGCATTAACGTGGCCAGATTTCCATGACGTGCAGCCACATGGACGGGCGTGAGGGCGTCATCCGTCGTGAGGTTTGGACTGGCGCCCGACTTCAGCAGCATGAGGGCACAGCGATCTCCGTCCTTCACTCTCGCTGCAATATGCAGCGGCGTTTCCCGCAGCTTTCCGCCACGAACATGAACATCGGCACCAAATCCCAGCAGCGTCTCCACAACGGCAGGCTTGGCCGATTCCACGGCTATGTGCAGAGCGGTATAGTTGTCCTAAAGAATATTCGAAATATTATCTAGAACTGCATTTGAGATGGAAAAGACCCCTGCTTGGCTGACTGAACTGGGATGCTGCATTCCAACTGCTTTACTCGTACCAAAAATTAACAAAAAGGCAATGGGGTAGGTAGGGGAACTACCAAAAGTCTTAACAATCGGATAACAATTACTGGCAGAATCAGTCAACGCATCTTGTGATTCTGCTCCTATTATATACTAAGATCTACAGATTGTAGAACCTTCCCACCCCAACTTACATTCGTGGTCACGTCCACCTTCTCGCCCTTTTGCAGCAGAGTGTTGATGATGCCCGTGTGTCCGTAGGCGGCGGCGGTGTGTATGCTGCGGGCACCATCCTTGTTGGGCATGTGGAGGTAGACACCCTTCTTGAAGAGCATCGTGGCGCACTCAGCATGGCCATTGAGTGACGCAATGTGCATCAGTGTGCTGCCATCCTTGGTGCGCTCGAAGATGCTCGCCTTGAATTTGTCCGCCAGTATTTCGATGACATGCGCATGCCCATTCTCGGCGGCCAAGTGCATCGGAGTGCGATCTGCAACGAAGCGGAAAACATGGAATAGATGGCATTATAAGTGGCATTATCCTTGGTCCAGTTTCGGACTGGAGCTCACACTCACCTTGATTGTCCGCAATGGACGCTGAGGCACGCACGCCATAGAAGTACTTGAGTAGAGCCTCATCGCCCTCGGCGGCAGCGATATGCAGTGGGGTCTGTCCCTCGCCGTTCTGCGTGTCCACGTTGGTGCCGTAATCGACCAGGATCCGGACCATGTCCACGTCCCGCCGTCTGGCGGCCAAATGCAAGGCCGTGTCTCCATTGGCCGTCGTTGCCTGCCAACGAAATTCGAGCATGAGAAATTGCACTTCATTTAGCGCATTTTATTTTAGTGAAGCGTAAGGCAGAGGCCAGGTCTGCTTAAGCTGCGTTTTGGCCACACAGTTGACCCAGTTTGTTTGCCGGCTGATTGCGTGTTCTGCCAGCGGCCAAAGTCAACCTCAACTCTAACTTTAACTTGAACCCTAACCCGAACCCGAACGCGAACGCCAGCCAGCAAACTCCCTCGGGGCACCCCTTTTGGTTAATTTAATCGACACGCATTGCTCTTGGCATGTGTTGCACTTCAACTTCTCGAAGCCCACAAAGTTGGGCTTCACGCAAATTGAAATTTTTGCGCAAACTTTGTCAATGTCGCGCACTGTTGCACTTTTTCCCTATTGCCCCACTGCACTGTTGCCGCACTTCACTCTCCATCAAGTGCGTAGCGCAGAGCAAAGGAATTTACATTTTTGATTTATTTACTTGGACATGATAACATGTGGACATAATCTGACATCCAAGCTGGACACTTGATTGGCATTAATGAAGTTTATTTTAAGGCTTGAGGCCTTGGTCGAACTTTGAGGTGTCTTAGGAGTTCTCTAAGAGTGAATTTTCCAATTGCCAAATGCGAAGAATGTGAATGTGAATGTGAATTTGCATACATGATTTATTTGGTTGACATTTGAGATCGAAACCTCAGATGAGTTGAAAGATATGGCAACATAAGTAAGGAGAAAGTATATGATTTATTTGCTTGGTTTTAGCTTGAATGCAGAAATTCTTGCCCTGTTTTTAGAGCTCTGAAATATGGCTTGACTTTGGCTATTAAGTGGTTTGATCTTTCCCTAAGTGAAGAAGGTTTTTCTAGCCCGTACTTCGACTTTGAATTTATGTTATATAAATATTTATATCAGTTTGAAGTTATTTTTATGTTACAGATACCCCAGATACTTTCCAAGGCAGTATTTTTAGAGCGGCACTTTTGTAAGCGAAAGATTTGTATATGTTTCATGTTGATTTGCACTCACCTTTAGTTGGTCCGCCGTTTGTGCAGAAAGGAGCTCCCTGCACATGGACTGATTGCCCGACTCCACGGCCAGAAGCAATGGGATTTTGCCACGCTAGGTGAGAGATATGTTGCTTGGTTAGCACACTAAATACATAATTGTGATAACTCTACACTCACACACACCCACACAAATACAATCATAATCATAAATATCCAATTAGCCAATTCGAGCCTGAAGTGTTAGCGGCAACATGTTCTATCGCTATTTTTAGCCAACTTTCGCAACTTTTCGCTTCAACTTTGAAACTGGCAACGGCTCCTCCCCCCTTCCGCAACGCAGACAGAAGGAGGGCCTAGACCGGAGGGTGGGGGTGGAGCCATCATCCCCAGCAGGAAGCGAGGGAAGTAAATCAAGTTGTACAGCGACTTGACCCCCTTTTTTTGTTGGTATCCCCACCTTGTTGTTATTTGTTTGTTGTTGGCAACGAGTTGAGCGCCCTCGTGCGGGTGGGAAATTCCTTTCCCGAGAGAGAGAGAGAGAGAGAGAGAGAGCGCCTGGAATCCGCCTCGAGGTGCGTGCCAGTGTCATTGTGGCCCGAACAGCGTCGAATTGTTAAGCTATTTGGATGGTGTCCCACGAAGAAAGAGACACCGCATCGAAGGCTAAATACTTCTTCATACTAATTTCGGCTGACAATGCCATTATCGTGGTGTGGGTGCCGCTCTCTCCCTCTCTCTCTCTCTCTAATTGATTTAAATCAAGTTGCTGTTTGCCATTTACCGCATCGGAGCAGCACCAACGCATAGTATCGTACCGTATGGATGCCAAGCATTGTGTCTAGACAATCAATCGGTGGCCCGCGGATAAAGTCGATGGCAATTCGGAGTGTAATTTATGCGCTCCCCTCGCGTGCGTAATGGAAATATCGCCCCGTGCATTTGCACCCGTGCACGTGATGCGACAAATAGTTCCGCATTTCAGTTACCATTTCCCCTTTGTGGTTGATGGAGGGGAGAGTATTGTGCAGAAGGCGGGGTCCCGGTTTTTCGGTTAGCCAATGCAAGTTAATCAGCGAAGCACGATGACGCTGATGGTAATTCAACTCTGACGGAAACTCGCTGACTTTTCCAAGAGTTTTCTTTCGTATATTTGCACTGTGAGAAAACGGAATAATCTTTTCTTTTCATGGTTTCTAGTTTAACATTGCTTTAAGTTCCTTTTTTATGACAAACTTCTGTGTAGAAAAGTTATCCATAAATTCACAAATAATAAGTATTTATAAACTTATTAAATAAATAGTTCAAAATGTAAGTTTTCATATAAGTAAACTATTCAGTGTAGTTCTCATATGAAATTCTCAAAGTTATTTTGATCATTAAAGAACAGATTTTTCTCAGTGCAAGAGGGACAGGACCATCTCTTTTATTTTTTGGTGGGCTTTCTGACTTTTCTGCTAGACGAAATGCATTTGCTGTGGGCGGTTTTTGGCGTATCGATTTTCCACAAATTTTGTTCTCTTTATTATTGTTGATGTTGCTTGACTCTTTTGTATACATACTAAATTTTGTTTTATAGTTCTTTTGGGGATCTCTGTTTACGTTGGCACCACCTGGCACTGGAGTCGAGTGACTGCACTCTCTGCAGTGGGAGTACGAGTATGTGCAGCTCTTGCAAGCGCAGATAACTTGGCATCAACACTTGTGGCTCTCCACTCACATTCACTCATTCAATCACTCACATGCACACTTGGTCACACTTACGCCGTCTGCTTTCACGCGTATATCCTTGCCAGCAGCTGCGAGGAGAGTGCGCAGGATATTTGTTGCAGTTCCGGTCTGCCGACTTGACACTAAATGCACCGCAGTCTGAAAGCGCGACTGAAAGATGATAAAAAAGCGTCACATTAAATACGGATTTTCGTAGGTGTGTACACACTGGTGGGGTTGGGGTTGGGGTTGGGGGCACACACTTATTGGCTTGGCAACACCTTAATATACGAGCAATAGACGGAATGAATTATTGTGCTCTGTGCCGTCTATTTGGTTAATGTTCACACCCAAAAGACAGTTCCCATTCGGTTCAAAATCCCGCTCGCTACTGAATTGGTGAGTGGCTCGTTTTTGCGTTTATAAGCACATTCGTGTCACTTTTCCTCCTCTCCAGTTCAGCGGGGAGCGCGCTAAGCTCATATCACAGATTGACAGCCAAAAAAAAAGGAAAAAAATAATGAAACTTATGCCACTACTCACACTGACAGGCCGCAGTGGGTGGCCACCGAGCACAGGAGCAGAGCTCTGGTTAAAAGAGCGGAGGGATGGTGTAGGGGCAGGTGTGGCACGTGGATGTTGCCACGCACACACGCCAACGGCGAAACACTTGAAACTTTGCTGTTGCCAAAACAAAAAGGTTTGCATCTGCCTCATACATCCCTCCCGCTCGCTTTCTCTCTTTCGCTCTTAATGGGTGCTCTCTTCTGATAAACATCAGTAATTTAGGTGCGGCACACGCCCCCCAAGAACTCACTGCGGCAGGAAAAATAAAGAAAATCGTCTTAGTTCTAACTCGAAACTGAGAGGCAACAGGAAGACCTAGGGTTTGCTATTCTCAGGAGTAAAACTTGGTTATAGTTTCTGTGCAAACTTCAACTAAATCCTCGAGTTTTCGAGTTGTTTCTAACACACTCCATGAAACACTCTCTCTTCCCTTCTCTTTCTTTAAAGCTGTAGTAGGGTCGAGACTTTGCCATCATAACCTTGTCGCCAGTTAATTGTTGGCTGCCGCCAAAGTCACATGCAACATGCGAGCCACAAAGTGTTGCATCTTCGGGTCTGACCTTTGGCCCTGGCAGTATGCGTCTAATGGCCTCAAATTGCCCGTGAAGCATTCGTCATTAAGGAAGCTGATAGCAGACCCCAAGGTTCCTTGCCTCAATCGGGGAATAACCAAAGTGCTGCCATCGCCTTACGTGTCACCCCCTAGATGGTGGGTTATTAGGGAAAATTGTATAATAATACGAGTGCAGCGGCTACGATGTTATGGGTTATGGGTATGGAAAGGAATACTTACGCCACCGGTGGAGAAGGGATCCACGCCGCGTTTTGTCAGCAAATATTTGACGACATCCTCACGCGAATACATTGCCGCAATATGTAGCACATTATAATTATCCTGCAAGAGGGCGAGAAAGAGCAGAATGGAAGCTTAAATCAATTGCAATTCATTCGCAGGAAACTCCCGCACTCAGTGCGGGGTCAGTTCAATGGGTCAAAGTCAGCGTTGGTATTCGCTTTGCATGTGGAGCAAATCCGAGCACAGGCATCAGGGTGTGGTTGTGCCTGGTCTGATTACTTAAGCCACAATCTTGCATGCGGACTTTCACTTACTGGCATTTCTTAATGGCCCTTGCAGTGGCCCAACCTCACATGCAAAAACTGCATCAGAGCTGCTCCAGAACAGCCCAAAAGAAACAAACACTGAAAATGGAACGGAAAATTATGACCCTGACCAAATGACCAAAGGGAAAATAAACTTTTAAGATAACGTCCCACCAAATGTTGGCCTGTTTTTGGGCGACAAATGGGGATTATAGGGTGTGAAAGTGACTCATATGTGACTTGTGGCGATGGCACTAAATATTTATTGCCTTATATAATGAGCCATAACGCAATGTGTTACACATACGCCCCGAGAGCCGTCGACTGCTCTGACTTAATTTATAACTAAGCCTCCCCATTGCTCGCAACCAGAACGGAAGTGAACTGGTTTTATATACGAAAGAATGTGTATTGTATGGGGCTCCTAATGGAAAGGTCTTTTAGCACTGTCATCGCGTTGGTGGGTGGAAACTAGAGCTGGTAAGTGGATAGATTCGCTGAAGGTTTCACTTTTGGTTACTAACTTTAAGAATTCAAAACGGAAGAGGTGCTTTTCCAAGAAATTACAACTGAAACAGCGCCTGGCGTGTAATAATCGAGTACTTTCCCATGGGATTTCCCCTTGAGAGTGGCGCACTTAGAGTGTGTGGGCTTCGTTGCATGTGAAATTTGAGGTTTCTTTTGGTTTATTTGCGACTATTTCTGGCCGCAGCTTTGGCTAATTTGCATAAAACGAACGCAAGCCGGCCGAATAACGTCGAGTCGACGGCTTTGACACATGTCCAGAAAGCCAATCCAAGACGTTGCATAGCAGGAAAAACCAAAGCAAACAGAGCCACACTCCATGCGAGAAGGCAAGGCCTGGCCTGGACTTGGTAGCAGCGAGTGGCAGCCAGGCAGACAGATAATATTTCACGCGCTGTTTTGCATACTTTTTGAGTCAAGTCGTGGTGGGCCTCGTGGCTCCTCTTTGGGCCTGTGTCAGTCTGCTGTTACTTGGCGAAAAACGAAAGCAAAAACCGGAAACAAAACCAAAACGGAAGCGCAAATTTTCCAGCACATTTTTGCCTTTTTGCCATGGGTAAAAGGCGGGCTAAAAGAGAGGCACGACCCAGTTTTTGTGGGTGTTTACGGCGCAGATAAGTGTGCTACGCGTCTTGGCCAGTTGACGCCCTGATGTTGCAAATGAAGTCATTCCGGCAATTACTATTACTCTGCATTGTCACACACCCTGCAGGAGAGTCAGAGAGTCAGAGAGTCCTTTTTAAATAATTATAAATCCGCATTAGGACGGTCATTTTCATTCTTCCACACACCCCAGCGGCTAATGAAGTTAATTAATACTTGGCACACGCACTTCTGTGGGTGGAGTGACAAATGATGGAGCATATGTTTATCCCGCTGTCATCGCCACACATGGAGAGGCTTCACAGTGGAGTAGTACTCCGTTTGAGCTTAATTAAAATTGCATATTAATGACGCCACTGGCCATAAAAATGTAGCGGATGTGGCGCCTGACGTCGAGGTCCTTCTCCTTATCCACACTCGAAAGGTCAGGCCCAAAAAGCCGCAAATGGAGTTTACGAACGGGGCGTACTTTCCAGTCATGTGCTTGATTAATTGGCTTTTAAGCTGCAAAGAGGTGTTGCTCACGGCCTCACATGCCGTGCCACCGCCCCAAAAAGATCCACCCGAAAGATGTTGAGAAGTTAAAAATGTTAATTAGCCAGCAGTTACATCATATAAGAGCATTCCTTATGACCATTACAATGGTCACGAGTCTCGTACTCGACCTGTCGTGTTGTGTCGGAATTACTTTGGACTGACATTTGCTTAAATTGCAAATTGCTAATGTAATAAACAACAATTCTTTTTGGACATTCATTTAGATGGAATTGTAGCTAGAGAAAACAGTTACTGTAGTAACATTCCGGAGTAAAGTTTAGGGAGTGACACTAAAATGGGAAGCTAGTATCTTGAAAGGGGGCAGAACAATAAGTATTTCTCAGTAAGGTGTGCCGCGAATGGCGTAATGTAAGTATTTTTATAGTCATATATAAAGCCATGAAAATAATTAAGTAAATGATGCAATCCACAGAAGGAAAAGAAGAATGCGCATTAAAATATGTAATTCCGTATTCTTTCGAAAGATTTTTAAGGATGGCTAAGCGGTAACGAACAGCGCTGTCAATTTATGGTAATGGTAATGGATCAACCAAAAATGTATCTACAAACAGATTTCCCCTGGGAATGGGATGCCTAAAAATCATTCTAAGGATAAACTTTCATATTTTACCCAACTCACAACAATGCCTGATAGCATTCAATAACAATAAAACACTCGTCAGTGCTTGTATTTTTGTAACTAACTTTTCTAACTTTAACATTTGCCCAAAACTTAGTCATCTTCCTCTATAAGCTAACAAGATTTCTGAACATTATTTTTTATGAGCTGTTGAAACAGAAACTTCTGTGTTTGTTTTGGTAATTTAATTCGCCAAGTCTCCGCTGGTCTCCCTGGGTTTGCCAACAATTATTTTGTAATTAGGTCAAGGATTTTTATCGTTTCAGGGCCCCAAAATGTAAGACCAAAGGCAAAGTGGAGAGCTCTGTGGTACTTGTGGCAGAGCAGCTACGAATGAAATGTGCTAAGTAATTGTGGCATGCAAAGGCACAAAAACCAAATGCGGCCAAACGGTTGCCGGCCAAAAGGCCGCTGCCAATTGGTCACTTCATTTGCAGGGCAGAGGCTAGAAAATCCACGCAAAAATTGGCAATAATCACGATTATAAATGGGAGACGAAATAATGATGATGGCCATCATCGTTGACCTTTCATCTTCAAGATTTAATATGAATTGTAGCGATGACTTACAGAGCAATTAGTTCTCGAAGACATTTTTCTTACTTCCGATTTCTGACCAACTCCCCGCTTGTAGCTTCTATCTAAATAAATTCCCTTAATGTTTTACTTTATCAAATGTGTAAACAAATCCAAGCAAGAAGTTTCAGATGCCACCCTAAGGAACCATTGACCAAATTCCCAACCGGACTCTTGCGTGTTTAAGCTGAGTGATTTGCCCAAAAAACCAACTCGCTGCCGCTAAAGTTAACTGAATTCAACCCAACCCAACACAACCCAACTCGACTCGACAATTGGCCAAGCTCTCTTCGGTTGACCCATTGAGGAGAGTCGCCGGGAAGCCGCGTACATTTTCCCAGCAGTGCGTGCGGATAGAGCGTGGATGTGGCTGGAGTCGGGAGTTACCCATTGGCATTCCCTGTACGAGATTTAATTATGCGGTTTTTATTGATTTGACACAATTTCAGCGGCTACTGTTGGCACCGCCGGCTGAAACAGCTGCTCTGTGCTATATCGGTCTCTTGTGGGTAGTAAGGAACTACTTTAAACTCGATTGCTATTCTTAGCCAAACACTTACATTATTGCGGGCTCCCACATCGGCGCCCAACTCAATCATGCGATCCATTATGGCGGACTTGTTGTCCTTGGTTGCGTACATCAGCGGTGTCATGCCGGTATTCTGAAACGGAATTTGATAAAGATACAATCAGAAATGTAAGCTGAGTGAGATTATCTTGTAACAGAAACATTTTGCAAGCATAGTCCAGTAGTCCTATTTCTACCTTCTTCAAAGTATCTTTAATTACCTTTCTGATGTTCGTACATTCATTTCAATTTTAGCTCTCGAAAAACGGATTAATTCTAGTTCAGAAATGTTGCATTTAATAGCAAAATAAAATTAATTTGACCAACCAACAGGTTCCCATTGTATTATTAGCTACTTCTACTTTCCTTTCCAATAGTTAGTTAATGTGCTACCAAAAGGGCTACAGAAAATCTATGACTTTACTTATCCAGATGCTGATTGTAGATTACTAGTCAACCTATGTGCTTTAATGCTAGAAAATAGTCTAAAATAATACTTAAATATTTACCAAGACATTTAAAGAATTAATAAAAGCAAACCCCTGTGGCTATCTGAATCAATTTTCTCGAATCTCTGCCGCTTGACCCCATTCTCAAGCAGTCCAATTCATTATATTCATCATCATTATCATGGAATTGGAATGGTTTCGCAATCTGCAGCTGATATGAGGGTACTACTCGTTAATTTACATACACAAAGATTCCGATTCCATCATTCGGCTGAGCCATTAGCGCAATTATAAGGAAATCAAGAGCAAACCCATCAAGCCGAGACCTGAATGAAAGTCTCAAGCAACTGCAAGTAAGGCGAAAATAGCAGAGGCAAAAATAACTCTGCCAGCTTGGATGGAGGCTATATTTATGCAAATATTGCCTTGGGCAGAGTCTAGTCTGGCAGACGTATCCCCGCGTCTGTTACAGGTTTCTTTACCCCTTTTTGGTGTCTAGTCTGTAACCCTGCAATTGATTAGCATTCGTCTGTGGTAGTAGTTGCGGCTCTGCTGTCCTCGACTGTGCAACGTTAATTTTATGTCAACGACTTTTTCGTTTGATATTTTTATGGTAAATTGAAATCGAAGCGCTTCAATTTCCCCAATGTTTTATGAGTTTATTGGTTGGGTAGTCAGCGCAACTTGTGGCCGTATGCCACCGAGGCCCAGACCCAGAGTCAGAGTCAGAGTCAGAGACGAGCCATTGCCTTGGCAGCCAAACATTTGGGACGCGCTATCAAATAACACTCCGGGCCTCCAGTTTCTGTTTCTCTTTCTGTTTCTGTTTCTGTGTACTGTGTGTCGTTATTTTGGCTGGTAAACAACCAGAAATGGGAAAATGCCGCCGACGTTGATAAGGGCGACGTTTGTACATCGCATACATCCTGTTCCCTATACCTATGCCTATTCCTGTTCCTATACCTATACCTATTCCCGTTCTGCCACAAAATTGATTTTACAAATTACTCTACCCTGCAGCGGGCGGGTGAGTGCCTGTGGGAGTACGAGTTCCAGTTATAACACTCACCATATCGTGTATGCCCGCCAGGGGTATGTGATTGCCGTCTTCCCCTACGTTGGCCACATACTTCTCCAGTTTCTTGAGCTCGGCTTCGATGGGTGTCCACTCGCTCTTCATGGCCAGGCTGAGCACCTTGTTGGCCGTGTCGCGTATGGAGGCGCCGGCACTGGGTGGCTTAGGGGCCGGAAAGAGGTCCATATCCTTTTTGTCGCCATTGCTGGAGCTGTCGTCCTTGGGATCGGAGTCGGCCTTACTCGCGGGCGTTGCACGTTCGCTGGGTGTTGCCGAGTCGTCCGGCGGACCGGTCAACGATGAGGGGGTCTTCCGGCCAACGCCAGCGCCCCCAGCACCGCGTCCACCACGTCCTCCGCGCGGCTGAGACATGCTGCTGCTGCTGCTGCTGCTGCTGCTGCTGCTGCTGCTGGTGTCCTCAGGCTTCCCCGTCCATTACACAAGAACGCCGGGAGGAAGAGCAGGAAGAACGGGAACAACGGGTGGGATGGGAAGGCCGAAACACTTTTTTGCTCCAAGCTAATTTATGTTTCCATTATGCGGTTTTCGCAGTTTATTTCCGGATTATTGTAATTCCTTTATTGATTTGTGATATTGTAAAATTTGTACTTGGCACTCGCTTCGCACTCGCATTGCACAAATTCTGTCGGCCTCCGCATTTTACCAATATTTGTTACCAACAATTTGCATTTTCATTGGCAACACACTCACACCATCATAGAGACACACACACACACACACACACACACACACATGCAGGGAGAGAGACAGAAGTCAGTATTCGGAGAGGCCACAAAAAAGGTTTCTTGGCTTCAATTTGCTTTTTGCAGCCCACTTTTCTATGTGTTTCCTGCCTATAAGGAGCTGTAGCTATAGCCAACACATCCGCTTGTTATTATTCCACTTTGATTCTTTCGCTTTCTTCACTTTTACTACACAAATTTATATGTTTAGCCCCTTTTATGGTTTCGGTTGCGTGTGCGTCAACGGTTATGCCCCCGCTCGGCGGTATTTGGTGTGGTCCTTTGCCCCGTTCGACCACTGCCACTGATGCCGCAGCTCCAACTAGCACTCGAATTCGACTGTGAGCCACCAACCGTTTGCCACGAGCGTCTGCGAGTTTCTGATTTGCCAGCCCCAAAACTTCTTGCCACAGTGCCTCAGGTGAGACTCGAGTCGCCGCAGCACCTTGGCAACGCGACGAAAGAGCCTCCGGCGCCAGCGAGCATCCGCGCAAGCGTCTGTTTACAATTGTTGAATCCCCACTCCCGGATCCACGTGACACAGTTTTTGGCGCCAAAAACGAAACAGAAGAGGCATAACTTTGGGTAAACTTCTCACGTTTTCTTGGGATTTCCACTCTCTCTCTCTCTAGCTCTCTCCCTTGTTGATTTGGGAACTGAAAAAGGGGTGATGGCTTAGAGATTCATTGAATGCTTTTGCTTCATCGAAAACTACGCCATTTCCCATTTGGCTTTCATTTAAAATACACACAAAATGTACCAAAATTTCGTATTACAAAAATAAAACCTTAAAAGAGCATCATAATGATTTGCTGGGGCCAGCGTAATGAGTGCGGTCTGCTGTGCAAAGACGACAGCTTCTGCAGATGCGGCATAGGGGAATGCATCAAGGACTTTCCCGTTCACGAACGTGTCCACTGGAAGGAAACGGAGCTGGCGGATGTCGTGCACGCCGCCCATTTGCGTGGCCATGAGTTCCTCAAGAATCTGTCCTCTCTGGTGCAGATCCGTTCGATCAGTCAGGGCGTGGAGTACGAGACGCAGAACAGGCAGATCGTGGATCGCGTGACCGAGTACCTGGTCGAGATGGCGTTCATTGTGGAAACGATGGAGGTGAAGCCCACCGTCGAGGGCAGCGAACAAACGCAGAATGTGATCTTTGCCGAATACTTTTCATCGCCTGCCAAAACCAATGTGGTCATCTATGGCTACCTGGACGTGCCGCCCATTGGCGAGGAGGAGAAGTGGACCCACGATCCGTTCAAGATGACCCAGCTCGATGGGATAATGTATGGCCGCGGAGTAGCCACCTCCAAGGGTCCGCTCATGTGCTGGATATACGCCCTGGATGCCTGGCAGAAGGAGATCGGGGACCTGCCCGTGAATGTGCGCTTTGTGATCGAGACGAGCCACTATCAGGGCAGCCATGGACTGCGCGGTATCATCCACGACCGAGCGGAGTTCTTCAGGACCGTGGACCTCATCATTCACTGCAGCCACTTGTGGATAGCGGAACACGCGCCCATGGTCCCCACCAGCCACACCGGCTACATCTACTTCGAGCTGGAGGTGCGAGAGAATAAACAAGCCAGTCCCGAGCAGACTTCTACAACGGGCCACGAGCCCATGACTGAGATGTGCCAGCTGATGAACTCCCTGATGGACATCAAGAATGGTGTCCTGGTGAAGGACATCAACAGGCATGTCATGCCCCCCACGCACAAGGATTGGGATATTTTCTGCCTGGCTGAAGTCGGCACCATGGAGTTCAAGGACACCTGCGACATCGAACGCCTGCCGTACGAGCGATCCAAGCAGCAATACCTCAAGCACAAGTGGTGCATGCCCAGCCTGTCGATACACGACCTTCGGGTCTACCAGCCGGAGAGCATTCGCAGCCTTTACAAGCCCACACGCATCGTGGCAAAGTTCTCGGTGCTGCTGGTGCCGGAGCAGAGCATGGAGTATATGAGGTACTTGATCAAGGATCACTTGGATCAGGCCTATCTACGCCTCAAGTGCGTGCACATCGCACGCATTAGGGTCGTTGACCAGTTGGCGCCGCTGAACGAGTCCCGCCACGACATCTTCCGCAAATCCTTCAAGGACGCCTTCGACAGGGTGTTCGATTGCAAGGTCCACATACCAGACACCATCACCATCAGTCTGCCGATCGTGAACGATCTGCGCAAGTTCTGCATGCCCACGGCACACACTTTGGCGGTGCCCTTCGCCTCCATCCACAGCCGCCCTTACACCGGCGACGAGTCCATCAGCGAGAAGATGTACTGCCAGAATATGGAGCTGTTCCTTACTCTGCTCTACGAGATGGCCATGCAGGGAGCAGACTGCAAGTGCAAGGTGGAGCAGTACTACTGCTTCAAGCCGGGCCACGGCTCGGGCAGGGACTTCAGGCACATGGTGGACCTGGTGCAGACCACCCACGTTGTCCTCGAGATGGATGCGGCTGTCAATACAAAGAAGGAAAAGCTGCGCGAGACCCTCAAAAGATCGCCCGATGCCAAGGACGTGTTGCTCGGCGAAGACCGGGAAAGAACGCTCCAATAACTTGCTATACAATTGCCGGTAAAGTCAAGCAGTCATGCTGTCGTGTGAGAGTCGTTAAGTGGTATAAATAGACCATCAAGGTCAAGCAAATAAAATGCTTAATGCCCATTAGGGGGGCATTGGGATACAACCTTACAGCTGCGATAACAAGTAAGATTTTAATGCACAGTGCTGGGTCATGTCTGGCTCACCTTATCATAGATGCCAGTCGCAATGCTACAAACCCTTTTCACACATAATGCCAGCCGACTTTGTGATACTAATTATTATCTTTTGGGAAACATACCGAATGAAATGATTACAGAGTGAATGTCTGCAGACTATACATGCAAATATGTATAAATAGTAGACTCAATGTAATTGTATTTTACTATAATTTATTTTTTTTTTCCTCTTCTAAAAGCGTCTGTCTTTCCCAGATCTTCTACTACAGTTGTCAAACACGTGAATGAAAGTGTTTTCATCTGTATGTTATTCCAGATAAATACACACAAAAACCATGAGAATCCCTAACAGCTGCTTGACTTTTAATCTCCAGTAAGTAAAATAGATACTACATACAATGTATGTGCATATGTATATTAAATATTTATCAGCTGCAATTTACAATCAGCAATCTAAGGTGTATTACATTATCACCGATTTCATGGGCAATAACAAACTACTTCTGAATATTCAGGCCCACTCTCGACTCGACAGATCACTGAAAACCCGAGAGACACAACCATACACAAGGTCCACCCTAATCGAGAACGAGAGAGAGAACACACAATTTAGGCAACTCAAACTACGAATCACGCCATAACAGAAAAAAGCTTCAAACATTAAAAGCAACAAAAAACCGGTCGTACGCCCCGCACAGCCCCAGCGGCCAGACGAATGCGATTGTAGGCAGACGCTGCGACAGCCACACGTGCTGGCAAACATAGAAAATAAAAGCAACAACAAATGAAAACAAAGCAAAGCAAAACAAAACAAAACGAAGCGGGCGAGATCGTGTGAAGTCGTGAAATAGAAAAAAAAGCTAATCGCTAAAGCTACAGAGCGGAGGGGCAGAGGGGCATTGCAGACCAGATGGGACGACGATTAGAATGCCGCTGCTTATTCTGTTTTGGAACTTGGCGAGCGGCGGACGTCGAGCTAGAACAAATTACTTAACAAGACTTAAACTGAATAAAGAGCGTTAGAATCGTTTAAATTAATTTAAATACCAGTGCTGTGTGGTACAAGTGAATGTGTGAATATTATGAAAATATAATTATATTTATATTATATTTGTGTGATATCAAAGATGATTAATAAGCGATTGCAGATTGTGTCTAGGCATGTGCTTCAACAGGGGTTCCTGCTCCAGGCTAAGCGCAGGTAGAAACACCCTAAAATTTAATCTCCCATGAAACTCCTTTCAAGGTCATGGTTTTGCAGGGAGGCAGCAGAGCCTCAAGTGCTTGGAGCCTTAAGATATTCCCATCCCAAGATAAAAGTTCCAGACAATAAATGCGCAGTTTTGACTGTGGTGTGTTCGCGTATCCCCCTCCATCTCTCTTTTCCAATCAAAATTCTGCTCATAAGTTGCGTAATCATTTCGATTCCAGTTGTCTTTTGGTACAGTTGCCAATTCAAAACTATATCTTAGACTTGGAATAACTATCTAAGTGCCACGCCCCCCGTCATATAGTGCCAAAAATAGAACAGACTTGTGCCAGACTAGTAGTTTTGACATCTGAAAGATAAGCACATATTTGTCGACAAAAATTTCCATTCGCCTGATTATTTATGGAAGTGAAGACCCCCAAGTGTTAATTGATATTCGATGAAAGCGTGCCGTGCTTCAATAGTTATTTGATATTTACAATTACATACTTACATCTGTAAGTAAATATATGTATGCATGTTCATAAGTATAGGTACATTGTTTATCGTTGTTGGCATCTAATATTTCAATTATGCAACAATCATATTTGATAATACAATGTAACTTATATATTTAAGTTGTTGGGTAGATTCGATTAGATTCAACCCCCAGCAGCTATCAAACACGCTTACAGCTTGCAAGCACAT